AGGCATCACTTTGTAGCAGTAGGTTCCACGATCGGCTATGAACGCGGTTTTCTCCCGATCGTCGGGATTCATCATGATCTGATTGTATCCCGAGAAGGCGTCCATGAAAGATAAGAGCTTGTTTCATGCGGTCGCCTCGACTAAGCGATCGATGTGCGGTAGCGGATAACTATCTTTCGGACACGCTTTATTGAGATCGGTGAAATCGACGCAGACTCGCCACTTTCCGTTCTTTTTCTTTACGACAACGGGATTGGCGAGCCAGTCAGGATATTGAACTTCTGTGATCGATCCTACTTTGAGGAGTCTGTCGACTTCGCTGTTGACCGCTTCGGCGCGTTCCGGCCCCAGCTTCCGTATTTTTTGTTTGACGGGTTTGGATGTCGGGTCAACGTTGAGTTCATGACACGTGATGTTTATATCGATCCCTGGCATATCTTCCGCAGTCCAAGCGAACGTGTTCGAGTTTCGTTTTAGACATGTCAGGAGTTCGACTTTTAAGGTCTCGCTCAGGTTTGCACCGATTTCGACGCAGCGTTCCGAAAAGTTCTCGTCGATGCATACCGAGATGACGGATTCGCAGGTTGGTTCGCGCTTACCTTCCAAAGCCTCAGCCGCTCGCAATTGCCAGAAGAGTTCCGTTTGGTCTTGCTCTGGGGCGTTGTCGAGAATCATCGACTTCTTTTTCTTTTTGGAAGAGATGTCGACCGGCAGATTTTTCCGCTTTAAATCCGCAGCGTAACAAACCTGCGAGGCTCGCCTATTACCCCATATAGTCTCGATTCCATTCGGAGTTGGGAACTTGAGACACATATGGTACGTCGACGGAATCGCTCGCATCGAATTCAACCACGGTGTCCCTACGATTGCGTTATAGGACATAGGTCGATCGACGACTTCGAATTCGACGTTTTTCACTACGCTCCCGGCGCGAACTGCCAAGTTGATCGTTCCGAGGGTCATAGTGATTTCTCCCGAGAGTCCTACTAGCGGGCTTACGTTTTCCGCGATTTCAGATAGATCGATTTTCATTCTCTCGAGAGTATTTTTGAAGATGATATCAGCCGAGCTTCCGATATCGACTAATATTCTCGCGACATCCATATCCTGGATCGTCAGCTCAATAACGAGAAGATCGTTGAGAGGTTTGACTGAATCGATCGTTGCTCTTTTCTCGAACGAGATGACGTCGCCGTTCAGATTAGGCATGTTATTCATTGTTCGTTTTAGCGACTATTGTGTAAGAGAATCCGACCCCCCCCCCTCCTTCTAGCGCCAAACTGTGGGAACCGAAATCCACACTGTCGATTTTCCGTCAAATATGGAAACTTAGGGTGGAACCCTAATTCTCCCGAGGTCCCGGATCTCTGCGGAAATCACTAAAACAAACAAATTTAGAAGAATATGGATGAACAACAAAGAATAAAGAGATAAGAAATTGTAAGAAAGCTTTTATTGAATAAGAATCGACAACTGTTACAAGTAGAATTGAAGAACTTAGACGTTAAAACGTTCTAAGGATCTGAATTGCTAGTCTAAACGCTAAGTCCTAATTCTAAGCTAGCAGCCGTCTCTTCTAGGTCTGATTTTCGTCCCGCTCTTCTGCCCTACGCCTCTGGTTTATATACTCCTTGCCTCGCTGGTTCGATCTTTCCATTTTGCCCAGATTTGAGCGTATTGGAAATCTTCCGATTTTCTCGATCCTTTCCTTTTCCTCCGCGGAAATCTTCTATTTATCTTCAAACTTGCCTTTATCTTCAAGCTTGACATTTATTCCCTTCTGCGAGTAAACCGTCAAAACGTTATCGTATCTTCGGGTTAGATTCGGTTAAGATCGCGA